CTCCATGTGAGACGATTGTACTGAAAGCAACAGAACATAAACCCAACTGTTTTACAATCGCTGCCAAAAACCACACATCTCCTATGAAGCCCATCCGGGGAAGCCAGACGTTGACTGACACGAGTTCTGAAATGAAACGGGGAACTTGCAGGGCAGGAACAGGAAAAGGAGAGATGAGCTGAGCTCTGCAGTTTCACACAGTGGTGATGGTGGGTGTCTCCAGCTATACATCCATGCAAATTTTCTGGAAAAAGAAATAGCGGGCTTTTGCTTCACCAACAAAAGGAGCTGTTGAAATCGGGTGTTTTTTTCAGACACAGCTGATAAGGATAATTACGTGGTGGTGGAGAGCTTAGTCATCCATCGCACGGCGACAGAAGAGCAGATTCTCTTAAAAATAGCGGCAGCACGTCCGAGCTGTCGGGGTGGCAGCAGCAGATCCCCGGGCCGGGATCACCGCTAGAGGGCAGCACTTCATCCCGGATCCATCCCGGAGCACTGCCGCGCCAGGACAGCCACAGCCCCCGCCACAAACACAGCTCTGCAGGCCGCAGGCCACAAAGGCCGTCCTGATGAGCCCCGAAGGGATGGAGAGCCCTCTGTGGAGCTGATCTCGAGAAATCCCTCTGAGGAAACACAACCCGCGTGGAATGAGCGCCTCGAAGAGCGCTGGATCGACAGAGTGCCCTTTTTAGTCATGGGTACAGATCTTTCCTTGGGAATGGAGGAGCCCCAGGTTTTATGTTTCAAACCACAGATGTGGGCTTGTCCCACTCTGGAAGTGCCAGCAGCGGAAATACCCTCCAAGGAAGGGTTCCATTACCCCCTGGTCAAACCCCAGCTGCTTGCCAGACCTGTTCTCCACTTGGATAACACTTCTCTGAAGGGTTCAAACACATACACTTGACAATGTTTTCATCATCAAACCTATTTATACAGCCTAAAAGGACTAAAAGGTTAAAAAAAGCGTTCTGGTTCCTTTCAGCTGCGGAGCCAGGGAAGGATCTGTGTGAGATGAGTGACTGGACGGGCAGCCTGGCACAATCCAGCTGGATTTTTCTGTACCCTCCTCTTCTTGGGCTGCCCTGCACCCACTGCCCACGTCAGTGACCAAGCTAACAGCGAGCTGTGTCTAGGTAGGATTAGTCTCAGGAATAAACAAACCAAAGCAGAAGTCAGCAGCAAACAGAGAACAGGGACCAAGCGCAGTCACGTCAAACCACGACCCTCAGGTCTTCTCCGGTCCGTGAGGGAACTGCCTCTGCTCCAGACCCTGGGGAGCAGTCTCCCATCCCACATCAGCAACCCCGAGACACTCCTGTAAGTCAGAGGAAGCTGGATATCCCCAGGGCAATATTTTGTGGTGCAGGCTTACAGCCTAAGACAGGCAGTCCCTGACACAGGCACGAAGAAGCACCCCTAGAACAGGGTAATGTCTCCCCTTCAGTCTCCAGAGCAGGGACCCACAGTGGGGTGATGGTGTCTGGGCAGCAAGAACGTGAGACAGTAGAAACAGCTGCTACCTCCAGAAGACTCGAGAGGAAACAGAAAAACTGGAAGTGCTCAAACTATTTTCCCATATTTTGTAGCAATCAGAAAAAGGGGGTGGGGGTCATCCAAAAGGAGAGTGGGAACACTCTCCAACACGCAGGAAAGCTGTGATCAAGTTAGTAGTACATCTCATGGGAGCAAGTGGTGTAACTTTCCCAAGCTCAAGGAGTAGGTGGCTTTTTCCCCAGCATTAGAAACTTTCTTGTAGGCAGATCTTCAGCCGAGACTCTGGGTGCACGGCTGTCTGTCAGGATTGCTAACACGAGCAGACACGGCTTTCATGGGTGGGAATTTTGCCATTGACTTCAAAGTACTGAGATATAACACCTTGTGTATTCCCTAAACACACTTAATAACAGCACCTGACACATTTAAAGTGCTTAGGCATGTTGAAGGCATTGTACAACATTAGCAAAAAACCAGGAAACCCTGTCTAGGTGGTTCATGAGAAATCTGGTAAGCCAAGAGTCTATCCCTGCATCAGATGCTTATCTATTAGCCAGCTAATAACTGTGTGACTGCTTCTCCAACTGATCCGTGAAGCCACAAGCAGGGACTACCTACTGGCGAGCTGTGGAGACACGAGGTTATTCATAATCCTCTTAAATCATAACTAAGAATACAGATTAGAAGGTGTAAAGCGTGCAGTAAGTGTTCTAAACCCAACACAAACACAGCCAATCTCAGTCTGAGTCAGAGCCCGCATGCTGGGAGCTCGCTGAACTCCTTCTGCAGGGCAGCTCTGGGCTGCAGGCAGCGTGTGGTTTGGCTCCCAGGGCTGGGCTGCTGTGACACCAACACACACCAAGCAGTGCCTGCAGCCAGGTTAAGGCAGACAGGGGCACGGTCAGCCCAAGACTTTGGGGACGGGACCGTAAGAAATTAATGTTCTCCTTTGCTTCAGGGCACGCAATGGAGAGAAGGAACAGCAAGGTCTCACTGGAGAGGGACAAAGGGAAGGGCTTTTGTCTCCAGACAGCTCAGAAATAAAACAGCAACATGGTTCGTGGGGTAGCTCTTAAAACATGGAGAAGGCCTCCATCAGGAAACCTCAGCACAGGTCCAACTGGAGACAACGCTGAACCCACTTCGTCAACGTCTCTTAACTTAGCCAAAAGTTGCCCAGTCACAGAATCACCAAAGTTGGAAGAACCTTTCAGTATCACCTCATCCAGTAACCAACCCAACACCACCGTAACACCACACATCTCCTGGAGACTCCACCACCTCATCCGAACACACGGCTGCTCGTTCAGCAAACATCTTTTTCTAATATCTAATCTGAACTTGCTCTGGCACAACCTAAGAGCATTTCCTCTCCTTTCACTTGAGCCATGGCAGAAGACACCTGTCCCTCCTCAGCTGTGTGCCCGTGGGTGCATTCACAGGGGTCAGCGGTGCAACCTGCCAAGGTCCATGCAGGTGACAACCCTCATGGTCAGCAAGCTGAACTACTTCCACCAGCCTGAAGCAGCCAGAAAATGAGGAATTACACACTGCAAGAACCTGTACTTAGTGAGGACACTGCAAGGAGGGTCTCGAGACTCCTCTTCTTGCAGACAGCAGAACTGGCACCAACCTTTGCACTAACCTGCACAGCTGCTGAAAAGCATAGAGGATACACAACAGAGTGCTTGATCAGGCCACTTCTACGGTTCTAGGTACGCTCACTGATGTTTTAACTGCACTGGGCAAGTAATACAGCGACACAAAAACGCACTCCTTAACACTCATCAGCCAGGAGGTAATTACCAATGCAAATCATCAAGTCTGGTAGCTGTTTTAAACAGCGGGCTAATGGTAGCAGCAGCAGATTTACATGTGGGACCTTCTTCCTTCAGGCACTTCTTTGTATTACTTTCCGTGCAGTGTTCCTCAAGTTTTCATGGCATTTATCTACAGAGTTTCCCTGTCTGCAGCAACAGCCAGAGATGCCCGGTTTGATACCACGGTTTTAACCAGTGTGGATTGAGACCGCCAGCGTGCGTGCTCGTACCAACACACAGCAGGAAACAGAACTCCTGGATCCCGGGAATCTGTGTCCTGACACTTCTGGAGCCTGAACAATTTGCAGGTACAAGATGTTTTACTGGCTGCTAACCTGAGATATGTGATACTTTTACTGGCGGCCGCTGCGAGCCTCGGTGAGTGCCCCGTAGTACTATCCCTGTGTACAACGCTGCAGCCACCTTCACCAGTGTTTGTAAACATTCAGCCTTCCAAGGACTTCCCACCTGAAACACCACACAGAACCTATTCACATCTGCAATAATTAGGTGCAAATGTATAAAGAGCCGCTTTCTTGCTCAACTGAAGTACTAATCTATTAATAGTGATGTTCAAATGATTCTGAAACTCCCCACTGTTTAACTTTGAGGACGGCTCGTTTTACTTTGGAAATTTACTCTCAGTTGCAACTTGACAAAGAAGGCATTAATTTATTCACGCTTACGATGCACGTATATGGTTCAGCCTTCTCCATTCACAGGTCAGACAACAAATTGGTGTCTCTGAAAAATTACCCGATGAAATATTCAACATAAGGCATTGTGTAGATGTGCACTACAAACTACAGTTTTACTGGGATGTCCCTGTGGGTTGGCTCTGGCACGTACGCCTGCATGTTTTATGCTTTGTCTCAAGGAGGAAGCTCCCACAAGTGAGGAGAAGGCTCTTGGATATGGGTCACAAGTTGGTGTACCAAAACTTTGACGAGAATTTAAAAAAAACCCTACAATGCATCAGCATATTTTCCCCAAGACTTCAGAGAAAAAAAAAAAACCAAAAACCGAACCCAAACCCAACACAAACCAGACACTGAATATACTGTGCTATTTCAGTTGTTTCTACAAAGAGAAGGAAATCAACCAAGGCTTATCCGAAGCCAGAACGAAAAGGACACACTCTAATGTGGGTTGCACGGGTTTCCTCTGCACTTCACGTTTGACACGGTCGTTTTACTCCCGCTTCGTTTTTAGTAAGTGGCAAATACCATTAACACGTTTGCTTCCCATCCAGAAGAAGATTTAAATAAACCAATTCCTCTCTCAACCTTGTGGCATTTTCCAGCTCTCACACCGAAACCCGCTACACTCGGATTATTCTGATTTCTGAATCGAGACCCCGAAACCCTTTTCAGTTGTACTCAGAACAGAGGTAAACGAGACAATGAGAAAAAAGAAAGAGCGAGCCAGCACCGTACACTCGGTGCGACCACCCCCCGCTCACAGTTCCGTTCGCATCGCCAGTGCCGGGAGAGCCCCTTTCCAGCCGGGGCAGCGCTGAGAGGGGCGAGGGGTGCCCGCTTGCCGGGGACACCTCTGGGCTCCGACTTCTGGCCGCCCAGGAGCCGAGCCAAACTCCAGCGCGGTGCGGAGCGCTCCCCCGCCCCGCGGCTCCCCAGCCCTGCCCGGCCATCCCCCGGCCGGGCACCGCGCCTCGGGACTCACCGGAGATCTCGGCCTGGGGCACGCCGCTGAGGCTGAAGCCCTTGGCTCCATACAGCTGCCGGACCTCGGCGCAGCTCCTCGCCTTGCTGCCGCTGTCACCGCGAGCCGGGGCGGAGGCGACACACAGCAGTCAAAATCCCCACGGGAAGACACGCATCCTTCTCCGCTGGCCCCGCCACCTGCCGTGCGAAGGGCAAAGCCAAGNCCCCGAGCACCCCCCGGAGCATCCCCGAGCATCCCCCGGAGCATCCCCGAGCATCCCCCGGAGCATCCCCGAGCACCCCCCGGAGCATCCCCGAGCATCCCCCGGAGCATCCCCGAGCAGCCCCCGGGCGGGCAGGGCTCCGCACGCCGTCCTTGGCAAGGACGCGGGTTCGGCCCGCAGCGAACCCTTCTTTGTCTGCGGCCCCGGCGCTTAACCCGAGGAGCCGGAGCTCCCCCAGCGTGGTGGGAAATCAAACCCAGAAGACTTCAATCATTCCAAGGATAGACCGGCGAGGAGCAAGCGGTTCAGCTTCAGAGAGCCGGAGAGTCCCAGCAAGGTCCTGGGGAGGCTGCAAGTGCTCCTCTAAGAGCAGATGTGGGAAGAGAGGCAATTTTCTACGACAGATTCTCAGTTTTGGAGTTTACTTCATACAACAGCCTGCCAGCTCCTGAAACCTGAAAAAGTGCTCTGCAGCAGTTGCAGCCGCGTTTTGAGCTGCTTCCCGCAGAACCGAGGCAGATGCGATCACCTGTGTGTCAAGGCAATGCCCGTGGGCTTCCCCAGATGAGCTCGCAGGCTTTTGGCCAGCATGTAACGTGTGTGGCGACAGACAGAAAACCCAGCCATCGCTCCTGAACCTTTGGAGAGCAGCTGTTCTCTGTGGAAAAAAAAGGGGAGGGAATCTCCCCATGCCTCAGCTGGAACACTTGTGTGGGCTTAAACCTTACAAGACAGCAGAAACCCCCCACACAAACACCATCACTGGTCACCCCTCCCCTCAAAAGGTAGCAAAATTTATCAGAGATTGTAGCTTTTGGACTAGATGTGCAAAACTAGGTGGGAAACTGGTGTTGTTCATCTCATTGCTTCAGAACTGCTTGTTCTCCTGAGGGATGGGAGAAGTGACTGCAAAGCAGGAGTCACGGGGAGTGGAAGCTTGGCAGTAGCAAAAAGTTGTTGCTTTTCTATGAAATCACCTATTGATTTCCTCTTAAATCTTCCTAATTAGATTCATCTATGAGATACAGCAAAGCAGATTAAGAGGACAGGGGAAATCCCTGCAAAGACAGGGAGAATTTTGTAATCATGGCTGAGGTGTCATTACCGCCAAAAGTTAATAGCTTTGAGTCAGATACACCCCACAGGGTCCAAATCTTCATTCTTTCACAGCTGACATTGTGCCTTTTGTGTCATCTCTCAGTGATGCACAGTTTAGAAACTTGACACTTACAGAGTCCCAAAAGCTTGGTACACCTCAGCTTGGAGCTTGCTTTGGGAGCTTTCTGGAATGTGAAAATACTGTTGCTCCTGGAAATATCTGGGGGAAATTCTGCCATGGATGAAGTCTGTCTTAACCTGTTTTTAAATGAAAACTCTTTTGTAAATGCAAAAGTCCTGCACACTTTAGAGGTTGCTGAGTAGGTTATGTGGCACGAGGTTATTTCAGTCTGTACTGCTGGGGATTTATTTTAATTTTCTCCAGGCTTTGAACACGTCACTTGCAGACCTATGTCACAGGTCTCATCTAACTAATCTGACTAACTAATAATGGTAGAAAACAAGCAGCAGGGGGATCTGTACATACATTGCCATGGATCTTGTTCCTCCTCTTGGAAAATCAAAGAGTGAAAATCAAATACTTGCAGACACACAGGTAACAACAGTCTCACTTGAGTCTGTTGAGGGGAATGAACTCCAGGAATGCAAATTCCAAAGGGACAAAGTACTTGATAGAGAAGAAAGGCAGAGTCATAAACCTTTTATCTGGCCTGGCTGGACAGAATGACTTGGGGTGGGTGACACAGGGGGCCAAAATTGTACGGAATTTCCTCTTTTCCTTCTCAGATCCCGGGACTGGATTCTTGTTGCCATTGTATATGGAGTGTCTGCTTTCAGCTCTGTCTGCAGTGACTTTGGGAAAGCTCTCTGTGCGGCTGCGCCCCAAGGCGGCTGCTTCATAGAGCTGCTGAAGCTCACTCAAACACCAGCTGCTGGCAGGCAAAGAGCTGGGACTGCAACCCTGGGGTTCTGGCCTTGGAACCACCCCCTGAGCTACAGATAATTTCACAGGCCAGAGTATTTCCCTTCTTCACATACACTTCACATTCCCCAGCTGGGTGACAGAGCCTGCGGCAGGGACTGAAGTCCTGTCATTGCTGATAAAATCCTGGGAGCCCGCACGCTGCTGTTCCCTGGTGAGACACCAGGCTGGCAGCCCCAGCACAGCTCCCTCTGCCACCTCCCAGGCTCTTCTCCAAAGCTACAGCTGAACCACAAGCTCTGCTGCAAACCTCCTTCATTAAGTGACCATCAGCAGGTCGTTTATCTCCTGAACAGGACTAAGGGTGTTCCTTATCCAACCACCTGCCTTTGAGACGCTCACATACTCTCATAATCAGAAGCTTTTAAGTAAGACAAATTTAAAATGAACCCAAGCTGATACCAGCTCTTCAACAGAGAAGATATCTGCAAGTCTGTGCAGGATCCAGTCCTGAGCAAACAAATGGTGAGGCATGTGTCGTTTTGCTGTTAAGTTTGAATACACATGCAGGATTTGACCTAGGCACATTTTAAGTAAATTGAAATAAACATCTTCAAAGTGTCATGATGAAAACGTATTTTTGGCATCCATAATAAATTGGATTGTATATATCTGAGGACCAAATCCAGTTTCTGAACATCCTCAGCTAAAAGAATGGAACTTGGCAAAAAGTAAACAAAAGCTGGTCCAAAAACAGGCAGAAAGGGCTAGAACTGGGGAAGATACTAAAAGGCAGAGTAAAACACAAAGATGAGTAGACAAAGTGCAGAGGAGGCAAAAAGCACACAGCCAGCCAGCAAGATAGCCAGAGGAAGACAGAAAATCCATCCTGCTCTGGAGATCACCTCTTGACAGTCCTGACAAAAAGCACTGCCCACTAAAAAGCTGATCCAAGCATTATGAAGCAAGAAGGATGAAGAAGAGCCAAATCATCTGGCACAAGTGGGGAAAAATACCCTTTAAAAACAAGAAGTGGACAGAGAGGCTTTCTACAACCTCAATTTTCACAGATATGGCTTTGTTTCTCGAGCACTTTCCAAAACTTTTGCAGTGCAGTGGACATGCCTCTCTTTTTCACCTTGATGCAAGTCAAGAATTGTACAGGCAGCAATGCAATTACGCCCACCAGACTTCCAGCTGGTTCCAAAATGGACCTGAGTTACAACAACCTGGAGTCTGACAGCAAAACCAAAACAGGAAAAAAACCAGATAACCATATCAAATTGCGTTGTATCTTTGATACCATGTAAAAGAATAGTGTGTTCTCCCTTGAATTGAGTGGTGTTTCTACTATTTTCCCTATGCTTCAAGTGCAAAATTCACACAGAGTGAGGGGTGGGGAAGGAAAAGAGATGGGCAAAACCTGACTGGGCTTCAGCTTCCTCGCTCCTACCAACCTCATGGAATGAAAACCTTTGCCCCTTTCCCCTTAGCCAGATTTATGATACTTTTGATTCTCTGGCAGCATCAGCAAATCTGGCACCTTTAGATTAAAAGTCTTCATCAAAGCTGGAGTATCTCAGTACCTCTTCTGGCCAACTCCTTTAATCTCTGCAGTAGATGTTTCCTACAGGATTCATGAAAGCCCCTGCCCCCCCAGAACTGGCTGGCGTTCAGCAGGAGCTGGACATGTGTTTTGCTGAATCAAATCTAATTAAGTTATTCAGAGGATTTACTAGATTACACCTTGCTATCTACAGCTACTTACTTCTTGACTGGCTCTCCCTCCACTGGAAATCCGGCATCTTCTCCTCCCCTCTGCTCCCATTCCCCCAGGAAGATTTTCTGACGTGCACAAACAGCACGTGTCTGGTTGTTTTGATCACCAAAAATATCAGATCAATCCCTTGGAATTGCAGGGACATCTATGTCCAACTGACAAATCCAGCTTGATCTCAGTTGACTTTGTAAGACACCATTTGCCTTCCCAAAGTACTAAGACCTTTTGGGATTTGCGTGCTCAGATTAATTAATCAGGGATAGGGTTCAGTAGATGTACAGAGCTGGGGACCCTTCCCAGGTCTTGAGGGAGCCAGACTGAGGCCCCAAGGACAATCACACTTCTTTCTGCTGAGGAATAGAGGAAGAGGACAAGTGCAGCGGTGTCTTGGCTGTGCCAAGCTGCTTTTTGACCCTTCAGTGGAACAGACCAATTCCCTCTAAATGGAATTTTCTTTTCCCCAGTGTGGCTAGTACTGGGAGTATTAGGAACAGCTAAGTAATTTCAGACAGAGAATCTGGCTAATGCAGGTAATTGCCACTCTGTGCTGTGTTTTGAATTGAACCACACAATTTTACAGCAGCAACTTAAAGGAATGTGTTGCTTAATGACCTCTTGCCAATGACTCCACCCTGCTAGACTGTGCTTGTATTATATATGAGTCAGAGATTTCCCAGTAGAAAGAAGTCTTAAAGGCAAAAAAATAAATAAATGTCATAAACTTATTAGAGAAACTGCTGCTAATTGGGTCTGCCCCAGGAAGTACATTTCATCCTTTCTGGATACTTTCAGTAAAGCTTTTCCCACTCTCCAAAACATATGCAGCAATGAGCAAATAATTGACATGGTACTTGAATCTGATTTATGTTTGATAAGCAGATCTTGCCTTGATAGTATGAAATAGCTCCAAATGGCCCCCAAAACTAGATGAGAAATGAGAAATGTGTCCTTTCAGCATGCCCCTATGGTGATATAAAGAAGATTCCTCCCACTTCCTGCAAAAGTTGCAGAGATGACTTCCTCCTATAATTCAAGAGGTTATATCCTGAATCTAACTGGTCTTGAGAGATTTTTCAGGTAAAAGTCGCCCCTCAATCCCATTTGTCTGTGGCACTGCCCTAAGGAAAACACAAGCAGGAGCACACTCTGTTTCTAGGAATGCCAGCTCAACAGCGTGTTCCTGAGCACTGGTCCAAGGCAAATGCGTGTGGGACAAGCATCCCAGACTTCTTG